CCTCGTCACGTGACTGTTAGTGGACTCTGATTGGCTGGTGTATGGATCGCACATTTGTGCCCCCGTGTGCACCATAAAGCTACACTGAACTACACTATGAATACCGGCCATAGTTGCCGGCCATAAAATATAAAAATTGTATGTATTTAGATAAAAGAAATATTGTTTAGGCTATGTGGGTTAAATTATTTCTTTGGTTTTGTTCATTTGAATATGGTTAAGGGAAAATAACAGAACAAAATAATTAATATACATATCTTCGTATTTTACTATATAACCTCTTAAACTGACACATGAAAGTCAATAATGAGAGCGATAGAGACCCTTAAAAGAGAGACTCGCCAACTCGTCACGTGACTGTTAGTGGACTCTGATTGGCTGGTGTATGGATCGCACATTTGTGCCCCGTGTGCACCATAAAGCTACACTGAACTACACTATGGGCGGTATTCATAGTCCGTTCTTTATATTTAAAAATTACGTCTTAAGCACGGACTTATATTCGCTCTCTTCGTCACACATAGATTGTGTCTGACGAAGAGAGCGAATATAAGTTCGTTCTTAAGACGATCTTGAATATAAGAACGGACTATGAATACCGCCCTATGAATACCGACCATAGTGTAGTTCAGTGTAGCTTTATGGTGCACACGGGGCACAAATGTGCGATCCATACACCAGCCAATCAGAGTCCACTAACAGTCACGTGACGAGTTGGCGAGTCTCTCTTTTAAGGGTCTCTATCGCTCTCATTATTGACTTTCATGTGTCAGTTTAAGAGGTTATATAGTAAAAATCGAAGATATGTATATTAATTATTTTGTCTGTTATTTTCCCTAACATATTCAAATGAACAAAACCAAAGAAATAATTTAACCCACATAACCTAAACAATATTTCTTTTATCTAAATACATACAATTTTTATATTTCATTAGCAAATATTTGAAAATTGTTAACACTTTGTAAATTTTATCATATAAATATTCACATTTGCAATGTTGAAACATATATTACAATTTCATTATTTAAGTTTGTATCATAATAAATTTGTCTATGATGCTTTTTATATTACCCTAGAATTGTACTTACATTTATAAATTTCAGTTACAATTTCTTGACAATTTTTGAGGTTTTCACAATTAAATATAAAAAATAAATTTCTTTATAGTATTTTTTTTTGTAAATAATGCATATAAACAGTAAATATTATTTTAAAAATAATTTTAAATATGTACTGTAAGATGCAAGCAATAGCATCCGATAGACGGCGCCAGCGGACGGCAGCCGGTTGACCGAGAGCAGCGCCTCAATAAAATAGATCCTGCGCGCACGCATTCCCGCTCCTCATAATTTGTTGATGTTAAATTATAACTGATCTAAGGATCGAGAATATTCGACGAAGTCGACCTGCGAGAGAACGGAGATCGAGTTCTCACTCTCTATCGCCGAACCAGTCGAAACAGTCGAAATTAATAGAGAGACAGTCGGGCCGAATTTATCAAATCGGAACTTAGTCGTTTTCGCACAGTTGTAATTTTCTACATAAAGACTATTTGTTAAATATCACATAAAATCAGTGTCGATCTTATTTAAATCATTTGAGTACCATCCTGCCGTTTTACCATTTTTATCAAAGTACAATCATTAAACAAAATAACCGGGGTCGCGTCTAGGACGTAACCGTTGCAATAGTTTGAATATTCTTTGAAATAAGAATATTCCTAGTAAAAGTCGATAATCGAAAGACTTTCGGAAGAGTCATTACAGTACTATTTTTTCTTTTATTTTACTACTTTACAAGTAATGTTTTTTGTGTATATCCCCAAATTATATTTTATTTTCATTGATATTACAGTCTAAATACGAGTACAAAGCAATTTGTATCACAAATGCATCTGTTGCAGCGATATTTAACATTATAAACGTTAAATATCTAGCGCTATAATTTGCAATATATGTAATTTATAGCGCCTTTCTAATTTACTTTTCAATTTTTATTACGCAATTTCCAGTGCTATCAATATTTTACAAAATAAAAGTATTTTTTCGATAAAAACTCAAAGCATTTCTATATTAAAGAAGCGAGAGAGAAAACACTAAAGCGTGCAAGAGAGACAGCTACTGTTTGACGATGAGATCATCATTGCCACTCTTGCCGCTCGCCCCGCTCAGCATTTGCCCCTCTTGCCGCTCGCCCCGCTCAGCATGTGCCCCTCTTGCCGCTCGTCCCTCTTTGCGCATGAGGTAACCTTCTCTCTATAGATCTTGGTAGCAGCCGACGTCTAGCTGTGACGTCAGCTTACGCATGCGCACGGATGTTCCGTACGGGAAAAAATCCCACGACAGCGCATCACTGCGTCGATGTCAAACGTTTCGGCTGATCATTCAGCCATCTTCAGTGCTAACGTTACAAATCTGTTTAGTAGAAAGATTGTGGTTTCAATTCGTCATTAATAAAATT